TTTGTGTTTTTGCATTTTCATTTATCGAACCTTAATCAGCTTAATAATCAATCGCTTTTATTTTCAATTTAATGATCTTAAAGGTTCTACAGGGGATTGTCGAGAATTTATTACAATTGCAGGGGACATCAATAAAATTCCTACGAGTAAGGCTATAAGGTCTTCCACTTCTGGTACTACGCCATAAAAACAGTAATATAAGCAACCATTTATAAACGATATCCATGCAATAATGATGTATATAACGACAAATATTTATCATTATTATATAATAAAGTGAATATCGCAAAGTGACGGAAAAAAATAATGATAATATATTTTCATAATCCACTTTACCATAAACAAACATTAAGGAATAAAAAATTTATTCTGGATATTGCGCAATGATGTAATTATTATGTAACTATAAATTTTTTCATTATATTACCGTTTTATACACATCGATGTATTTAAACATTCTTTAAAATGACCGAAGGTAAGAAAAATTTTTATGTAGACATTTCTTAGCACCACTATACAAGATATTTTAAATGTTTCATGATTCATAGTTGAACCATTGCACAGAGGTCTAGTCAGAGCTCACGACGGTCACATTTTAAGTTTAGATTCTTCCGGAATTTTACAATTCAAATGGGATGTCAAGAATGATAGCCCTACAATGTTTGAAATTTCAAAAGATGGTGAACTTCTTGATTACAAAGGAGAACGTGTTTATTGGATACCAAAAGATGATGGATTAAGGGAGAAAAAGTATTGGTTTAAGGTTGAAAAGTTTGGACCTAACGAGGTGAATTGATAAAATTGATAAAAGATGTTTACTGTCATAATTAAAATGGTGATGAGAAAATTTTATTTATTATTTTTTTTGATCAGTTCTTTTTAAAAGCAATGGTATCGGAAAATAGAGAAACTGGAAAATATCTTGCGTTTACTTTAGAAGATTTGACATTGAAGGATCAAACTTCAGCTTCATCTGAATTCATTATTGCCAAAGAAGTTTAAATTTTTATTATTATTGTTAACCTACGAAAGTCATCTGCCACAAGATACTTAAGTACGGGTAGAGCAAAGAGGTATTAGTTGTTAGTTATATTTTAAACCATATCCTAGATTTATCTTATTTTATTGTGTGTGTATTATTTATTTTGTGATAATAGAATAAATCGTCATTCTTTAGCGAATGTGAATAACGTTCGCATAACGAATATAAAACAAAAGTGAACTGTGATGTGGTCATTTGAGAATTCACCAACGGTAGTACTGTTATTTTGAGTTAAACTTTTGTGCCATAAATTCTATCTTAAATTTGGCACAATGCTCCAAATGAATGCACCATAAATACTAGATATTCTCTATAAACATATTAATGCTATAGTGTAATATTAATATGTAATAAAAAGGATATATGAATTTCTTTAAGGAGTGCAAGCCTTGACCCCTAAGGAGAGTTATTCATGCACCCCTTCCCCGTGATTACATTATAAAAGCTACTCCTTTATCATGAAACGTACGTACTGAAAACTTAGCCAATTATCACTTCGGAGATGACCATTGAAACTTAAAAAAATACGCAGTAAGTATTTATATTACCTAACATTCAGAAACATACAAATACGTAGAATGTCTTAGTGTAAGGAGTAATGCATAACATAGCACAAACATATGTGTGAATTATTTTATTTTTAAAAAAAATAATAATTGATTATTAAAAAGAATTTGCAATCACATGATTTTAAAGAAATTTAGCGAAGAGAAAAATTATGAGGATGCCGGGAAGGCAACAAGGTCACGTGGATGCCGAATCCGAAAGTGTAATTATTAGTATTATATGTTTTTCTAAAAAAAGTCTATGAGGATTTGTATAGGAATTAAGAAAAATATTATTTGTAGTTAACTATTTATATTCTTAACAATTTGAAATACTTCCCAATCCTTCCATCTAAAACTGCCTTGCCTATTGAAGACACCTGATTTATAACATCTATTCAGACGATACCCCACAGGTTGATCGCGCTTAAGACTAACGTAAAGATCTGGTCCAGAGCCGAAACATGGCCCACCTTCTGGATGATCATATATAGCAGAATCTATCTGATCAGATAAAATGTATCCATATTTCGCATCGGTGCCAAGAGAAAATATAAAACAACCTTTTGATCCACGACTAAATGAAAGCCACCCTCTTTGCCACCCATCATTTAATGCATTATAACCTCCAATAATTTCGTTAGTGCCTTCAACTTTGATTACAATGAGTGTTGGGCCAACGTTATCACATTTTTGGTGAAAAGAATGTCCATTATCATCACAACTTGCTCGATATAGTAAATTAAAGTCATAAGTATAATTAATGTTTCTATTAAATTGGAATGGTTTTTTCTCAATCCAGCTTATAATATTTTTACCACATTTCGGATTAATAATAACAGAAGAATTGATTCGTATTGCTGGATTTCTTGGTGTTAGTAACATTATTGAATAGAGACAATCCGTTTGGTGATAGTGCATTATGTTGTTCAAAAGGTTTTCAGGTAAAATCTTTGAGAAAGGTTGAACGTGTTTATAGAATTCTGAATGCGACATTTGGAAAAATCTAATATATGGTATACATCTATGTAGGGTCCTTTCTAAAGCTGTAAAATCTTCAGGTGACCATTGTTCAATGCGTCTTTCGAGACCAGGCGTGTTTGCAATACCCCATTTTAAAACATATTCCCAGAGAACAGTTTCACTAAAACCAAGATCATCACGTTGTAATAAAGCCAAGAGTACGAATTCATCTAAGGAGGGGAACCAATCAGCGTCAAAGAATGATGACAGATCACGTAAAATTATTTCATCAAGACAATACTCTCGTAATGTTCGACAAGAATTACGAGAAACAATAGTAAGAATATCTAAAAGGTTTTCGTCTATCCAAGCAGCTTTTGAATGAATCAAATATGTTTGAACATGCTCAATTAAAACATCATCAATCATTATTTCGTCAGCAGCAATAAGAAGATCAAGTATATCAAAAGGATCATGATCTTCTAAGTGAAATATTTCACCATAAATGTATCTGTAAAAAATAAACGTAAGTACAAGATAGAATATTTTGTAGTTACAAATTTCAAATTTACCTTAATATGATTTCAAAAATATTAGGAGACACGTTAGGTTTCTCAAATATGATAAGATTCTCTTGTTTTTTTGTCCATTCATGTGATAAAGCCCTATTGAAATAAGGAGACCTAGCTCTCAATATTAACGAATGAGCTTTAAATTCTTTCGTATTTGGAGGTTCACCAACTTTTATTTTAATATCATATCCTTCAGGATTATGTATTAGCTTTATAATATCGTTAGACAACTGTGTTAACAATTCAGAATACATTTTTTAATGAGAAAAAGGAAAGGTTGATTAAAGGGACCATATTTTTTCAAGTGATTTGATTTTATTTATTTATTTATTTTTTTTGCATCATTATTACAGTTAATCCTAAATGCTCAGCGTTATTCATTAATAATCTTATAATTATACTAAATAGTAAAAAGATATGAAAAGTTTGTGATGCAAAATTATTTAGGTATATTATCCAAAATCAGTAAAGTGCAATTACGTACGTACGTACTGAATGACTAAATATGTTTTAAAATGTAATGTTTTCTATTTGAATCATATGTGATATACATACTATTCTTTTCCTAACGAGTAAATGATTGTCTGTGACTTACACATTTTTTACATATGGGTCCTTCCACATCAAATCGGGGCTTAGAAACGATTTTTTGATTTGTAAATATCAACGATTAATCAATTTT